ACTAATTGTGATGGCATACAGTGCCCCGAATCCTTTAAATTCAACGTTATATTGTATTTACAGCTTCTTTGTTCAGTTCTAGAATATTTTCCATTTTAGGAAGGAAGGAAATCTACTCAAGTTTAGAATCAAATAAACCCCACAATTCTAAAATACAGTTAGCTGATAGCATTTTATAGACAGTGAGTTAGAAGATTAAGTGGTTCCTCTGTTATTCTATTTTTCTTTAAATTGCAGAGTTGCCAAAGCTGATTTGATAAAAGAAGAATGACATGGAGAACAAGAAACTGTGTAATCTTCCCATCTCACTTACCACTTTCAGATACAAAGGAGTAAAACTGGAACCTGTCTCCCCCCTGCCCAGAATTTTTATGTGCTAAAAAAAAAAACAACCAACAAAACAAAACAAAGCACACTGAGTTTTTAGCTTTTCAGGGATGCAATATTAAACAATGTCATTAAAAATAAGCTGACTTTTTAAAAAAATAAATTCCTTTGCTGTTTAAAAAAAAAAAAGTGAAAGCAGAGCTGTTGTGTACTTTTATCCATAGAACAAACAAACTGTTTATGGAGACTGTAGCTTAGCAGTGTGAGCTAAAGCATTTTTTATAACACTGTCAAGAGTGTGTCTTGCCTGTTAGCTCAGACATCATACCTAAACCCCTAAGTGTATCCATAAAACAAAAAGCTGTATTGCAGTACAGTCAAGATATTTTCCTTGAAGGATTCCTTTCAAAGCTAGTTCTGCCTTAGCTTAGCAACAAACTTCATCAGAAAAACAGATGGTAGAGGACATCACTGAACGTATGTCCCAGCTTATACTCATGTGGGTAATGTGGGTTTTCCATACTCCTGGAGCTGACTGACGAAGTCTGCTCTGAAGCTGCTGGGAGCTTGGAGGACCATGGGCCCAAGAATTCTGAGAAACAAAATGTACTAGAAGAAATACAGAGAAATCAGTGTCCTATTTTATCTCATTCTCTTTGAACATCAACTAACAGGCTAAAAAACTTTGCCCTAAATCAATACTCCAGTAATTACACTTCACTAGACTCATTCAAGGTCATGAAGAGTCAATGGTGACAAACTGCTATAAAATCCCACTGTATCTTTTATACCTGTTTTGATGCTTATCTCTTTCAGTCATTGATTTAATCTTCCTTTTGAATTATTTCGAAATTAGTCATAATTTAAGGCATCACCAATGAGTACAGTGAAACTTGCTCCCAGGGCATGTTTCAAACATGCTGTACTAAAGCAGATACACCATCTGCTGTTTAAAGGGCTCCAAGACAGTTTTCTGTTAGTTAAATTCCTACAACTACTGGATAAAGTGCTACTGCCAAGAGGAATTCTGTTGGCTCCCTCTGAGGCTATACAGGGTACAGGCATCAGGAGTAGTGGGACTTGCAAGAGGTATAAACAAAGTAAAACGTTACCCTTGAAATCAAGACAATGATTATTTAAGTCTGAGCTTCAATAGAAACATCACTGCTGATTGTTTTCACAGAAACATCATCTAATACATTTACACTATTCTCCCAAACTAGACTGCTGTCTATGTTTTCCCACGTGCCAGCAGACCCAGTGGCTTGGCTTTGAGCTGCCAAGATTTTTACTTTCACCCTGTTATAACTCAAACAGATGTAGGTATTTTACACTCAGAATTTTACAACCCATGATGTTCACTCTTTATAGACACCAAAAAATGAAGTACTGTAGAATTACTGTACCCATTGCATTATTTACTTTTATGTTTAACTGTAAAACTTTCCATTTCAAATGTATTTCAGAGTGGCCAAAGATCCCTTTGCCTCATATTGCAATGTTCTACCCATATCCACCTCCAAAAAGTAATCAAATTTGATACTGTATCAGGAAGATCTTTCATGACACAGATTTTATGACACTGTCTTAGCTTAGCCCTCTTCATGTGTAATGATGGAGTGAGAGAGGCTGCAGTACCACACTGAGAAGGCACAAGAGGAGGAATTTGTGCCAGTATCTGCTAGTTCAAAAACATAAACTCAGAAGACCCAACCTTACCAAACCAAAGCTGAATGATGGAAAAATATAACTCTGAAGGAGTTCTGCTGACTTTGGGATGAGTACCAATCCACAGAAATGTTTCAGTACAGATAAAGCCATCTTCCTTAAGTGACAGTGTTGTCCATGAATGGCTGTTTCACTGTAATAAAATGGGTAAACTAAATGGTCTCCTGCCCTGGCTGTTTTTGCATAGCCTTTCTTCTCTCTTTAATAATATAGAGCCATAAATCTCCCAGTAAGAGAAGACTGTATATTTAATACCTTGAACACATTGCACTTTATGATTGAATTTTCATCTTTCCTGTGATTGTTAACTCTCAAAGTATGCAAAGCTGGGAAATGAAGCTTTTTCTAAGAGTGTGTTACAATCCTAGCATGTACAACCTTCGTTCTACTGCCTTCCAACAAAGATTTCCATGTTCAAGCAGATGTCTTTCAGTATTTTGGTCTCAAACAAATCAGACACATTCAGTTCCTCAGCACCTACAGTTTCAAAAAGGGACTTCTGGGCATCTGAACAAAAAGCTAAATGAACTGTGCATTGCTGTATATATACTACGTTTAATGAGTCAAAGCCAGGCCTTGCTGTTACGAAGCAAGACCTCAGAGGGCAAGACAACTGATGCACTCCAGCTGTGCAGGGCACTGGACAAGAGATCTGTGACAACAGTAGCAAAAGACTTGGAAGACACCTTCACTTTTTGCACAGTTAGTGCTCTGCAGGTTCCCATCTACAATGTGGATTGGTTATAACGCTCCAGTCAGAGAGTGGTTGTGCTGGCAGAACACGCATCTGAAACCAAGAGTGGAACAGCTGGATGCGCTGCGAGTCAATGGCCATTTACTAAATCCTCACACAAAACAGGGAGAACTTGTCTCTGTGTTGTTAGACAAAGATGATTTCACTTTAGCCCTGCTGAATCTGAAATGCAGCTTTGCTACTGCAATAAATATTTGCCTGAGACATTTCCATAATTTAATCATATTTTCAGTTGCTCAGTAACAGTTAAGTGCCAGTCCTTGCTATTAAGGAGCTTGCTCTTTCCTCCTCTTTGCTCCTCTTTTGTCATAACTGTAAATATTGAATCTGCCAGCCAAGTAATGTACAGCTGTTAATGCCCTGCACGAAGGGATAGCAGAGGCTGTCCGTACCACTACAAGCCACATGTGAGCAGAGCCCTTTTCTCTGGGGAGCTCAGCTGAGCTGCAGGCAGCAGGCACTCATATTCCCATGCACTACCTTAGAAGTAGCACTGCTCCACCCACTACTAAACAGTTTTATGGATTTTTTTTCAAGAGAAGAGTCGGACTCTATATATCTACAAGGAGACTTTATGCTAAAGAAAACATTTTTAATTAAAATCACAGTAGAATTAAAGTTCACAAGGTCACTGCGAAAGCAAAGAAACATGAGCTTCTACTGTCTATAAACTCTGACGTCTGTACACAGACAAACCAATTACCCATCACTATAAACAACCACAGACAGTTCCTACTTCATCACTGGATAAAGCAAAATGCACCTGCTCCCTTCCCTTTAATGGTAAGCCAACTCCTACCATGAAACCGCCTTCTTTCAATGATTAAAGAACTGCAAGGCAAGTGCCAGTAATAAAGTTATATTTTTTTCCTCCTGTAATCTAATCTTTGCCCTGTAGAAACTGCTGATGAGCTCAGTTCCACTTAAAATTTACATAGAAACAATCCATATCATGTTGCATGGAAAAGGACTGTTGCCCCAGTGTTTACTGGCCCAGTGATACAAGGAATGAGAAATTACTCGGATGCAAAAATGATGTACAGCATTGTATTAGTATCAAACAGGCTTTGATGCATGGTTGCTATTTTTGGAAGCTAATGATCTGTGAGTGATAAAGCAAATGAACTTTTTAATGATGACAAATACAGGAGAATGTACAGCACCGAGTAGAGAACACGATGTCAAATGAAGAAAGATTTATGGGAGCTAATTATGGTACATAAGATTTATAATGGAAAAAAGAGAAGAATAGGAAAAACTTGTAGACGATCGTGTGTGTGTCAAGCTGGAATAACAATTTGCTTTCAGACAAAGAGATGGACTGTATAGTTTACTACATGCTTCTAGTTGATACTTATATTGCTTTGGTATTTATATGCATATAAAGCCTAAGACATGCAGGATTTTATGCAATTTAAAACAAACTAGCTATAGAAAAAAACTCGCTATAGAAAAAATGTAGTTTTTTAACTAGTGTGAAAATAAGCAAATAAATAGTATTTTATTGATATTAAATCTATAGGATATTTTTCAGTTAACTGTATGACAAAACTGGCAGGGTGATGTTTCCACAATTAAAATTTCACTGCACTCTTAAAAATTTTTGAAGAGATTCCCACGCATTGACCTAAGATCCACCAGTGTCAATTAAAATTCAATGGACTAAATACACTATTGACAGCAAAGTTTGTCAACAGAAGCTAATGTAATAATGAAAGAAATTGATTTGTGGTATTTCAGATCTCATGACCAAAAATACATTAAAGAGGACGAAGAAGTCACAACATTTAAGGCAAATTTCAGGCCGGAGGGTCAGTCAGCACTTCGCGAGACAGGAATGGGAGAGGGTCAGAAAACATCCCCGCCAGCTGAGCTCAGCCTTCCCGAAAGAAGTTGGGCTGGTGGGAGGACAGGCCTGTTCACCTCAATCTAATTCACACCTTTGACAAACCTGGAAATGTCGGTGGCGAAGGAACCACTTGTGCACATAGAAACCCGTGTCCACGTCCCACTACGTACCTTTCGCCTCTAAATTAAACGCCGTTTTTGCTTCAGATTAAGCGTTTCCCTTCGCCTGCTCTGAGGAAAACAAGCTCCGGAGGACACACGGGGAAGCAAAGCCCCCCGCCCCCGACGGCCGCGGCTTGGCCAGAGGGAGTCGCTTCCCGGCGGGTCTCCCCGCTGTCTTCACTCACCTGGAGCCCGTGCGAGGGGCGAGGCGGCGCAGCCCTGGCGGCACGGGCGGCCCGCAGGGGAGCGGTGCCCGCGGCCGGCAGCGCCCGGGAGGCCACGGGGAGCGGCAGGATCGGGCGGCACCGGCCCATCCGAGCCGCGGACCTGCCGCCACCTGCCCGCGGCCCTGCCCCGCTCCTCCCGCCAGCCCCGCCGCCACCTGCGGCGCAGGGCCCGCCCGCGGCCCCGGGGCCAAAGGCGAGGCGGGCCGGCCGCGCTGCCCCGGGGACGGGCGGGGTGCGGCGCCCAGGTGTTTTCCGCCTGGGCAAGACACTGACCGCGCCGGGTCATAGACGTACGGGAGTGAGGAGAACGAGCGGGACGGGCGCTGTGAAGGGCCGATTTCACTGTTTTCCGCCTCGGCTTTCCTTTCCACTTCGCCCACCCGTAGCGGCTTAAGGTAGCGGCGAGCCATCTCCAGGTTTTTGCTGGAGCGAGTTAAAGACTGTTGGAGGTGGCGGGATAGTTGCAGTGTGTAGCTGTAGGCAGGATGTTTGTAGGGGTATCAGAGTGAAAGGCTCCAGCTGAAGTTGCTTGCAGCTGTGAGTAGTCGTGCATTTGGATCTTCAAATGGTGTATTTGAAGCTTAGCTTCCATGCAAGAGGTGAGAAAGGATGGATGGACAAACTGGCTGGAAGAACTGACAAAAATAACCTCGAGTAGTTTCCCACTTTGGCATCTATCTATTTCAATAAAATTCTCTCAAACTTGTGAGTTCTGATTTCATAATGAGCCAGTGAGTCTAAGGACAATAGTTCTGGATAGAAAATAGAGATGTTGCCTGAAAAAGGAATGACCACCACACTACATTTCCTTGTAGTCCAAGTAGAAGTGTTAGAATGAAAAATTATGTGGAGGTTGTTTGTTTCTTAGGGCGGTGGTAAGGGAAGCAGAAATGAAAATGGAAAGCTGGTGCACACTAACTCAGTCTTAAAATGAAAAATCATTTCCACGTTACTTCTAGAGCAGCCAATCTGGGTCAAAAAAGAAATTCAATTATAGGTTTTATTTCTGCCAAGTAGCATTGTTTTACAAATGTCCATGCTATACTGGCAAAAGTGATTTTATAAAATATTACTATGTGCAGGAAAGACATACCCTTGTGTAAAGCAAATCTGAGAAGCACATTGTTCACCTGCTCGGTTGCACTGCAGCTCTGACAACATTTTCTGCTTTGTGTACTCTATATAATTGCTTGGGTGTAGGCTGCATTCAAGATAAAAAATGTTTGTTCTTCTCCCACCTCAGGAAATAAAAACACTAAAAATACAGTGCAGAAGAGAAGCATAAGCTAGGAAACTTAAAACTAACCTTAGACTTTTGCATCTGCTGAAATAAATTACTGAGCTGCTTTGTGGATTTTAATAAAAATCAAATGTGGGGCGGCCTAGAGAAAAATCTAATTGCAATATTTTAGAGAGCTAAAAAAAAATCCATTGGATGGAAACATCATTTTAGGCCATGTCTTCAAATATAATGTTTTAATTATAAGCAAATTTTGTTTTCTCAAAGTTTATTAATAAAAAATCTGATCCATGTCATGAAATAAGGTTATATGTTTTGATATAGTCAATCCAAGTGGAGTCACATGAAAATTTTATCAGTCTAATTAAGCTCTTTTCCTTCTGTCTGGAAAGTGTCCAAAACGTAAAACTAACTGAAATATCTTTCCATGTGTTCAGATAACTGTGCATGTTAATACCACAAAGCTATGTATGATTCATTCATCTTCATTTCACATACTCCCTCTGCTGGGAATTAGCATGAAGGTTCAGTGGATCAGAGGAAAGATCATTAAGACAGCAAGATACATTAAAAACTCTCTTTTGCTTCTTTCATTAAAAGATCACACTTCTTTACAGACATCCCATCTATATCAGTAAATCAATTTGTATTCCTTGTTGCAAGGCTATTCATACCAAAATCACTTAGATGTGGAAGGAGAAACTAATGCAAACTAACTAGTTAAATATTCCATATATACTAACTTTTTATGCATTCCATTGTATAATTTCAGATCTGCTAGTATCAAAAATTAAATGAATTTACAAAAGCAACTGAGTAACAGAACTGCAAAAGTATCTTTGATGCTGATAGACATGTGGCTAATACTCCACTGTCTACACTGACACCAATGGGATTAAGTTGCTCGGAGAAGAAATGAGGTGATAGAATAAAAAACTCAGCTGTAGTATTACCAAAGAGTACCCCACACCATGGAGGAGCTGCTCATGGGCAGAGCTGTCTCTCTGCAGCGCTGCCTGCTTGCCAAGAGTTCCCTCTGTCCCAGGAGCCCAGCCCAGCTCAGGAGCACAGCAACAGCCCAAGGCATGTAGTGACCCTCTGGTGGATTTGGCGCTGAGTCCCTGGACCTCAGGCCCTGAGGAAAATTGCAGGAACGTCTTGAGAAACCAAAGTTTTTCTGGTCAAAGACTAAAACCACCTGCTAAAACCTCTCACTACAACCTCTCCTGTGAGGAAAGGCTGAGAGAATTGGGATTGCTCTGCCTGGAAAAGAGAAGGCTTCGGGGTGACCTAATTGTGGCCTTCCAGTACCTGAAAAGGAGGGAGAGGGACTTTTTATACAGGCAGAAAGTGACAGGACAAGAGGCAATGCTTTTAAACTGGAGGAGGGCAGGTTTAGATTAAGTGTTAGGAAAACATTTTTCACTCAGAGGGTGTTGGCACTGGAACAGATTGACCAGAGAAGTTGTGAATGCCCCATCCCTGGAAATGTTTAAGTCCAGCTCGGATGGAGCTTTGAGCAACCTGGTCTAGAGAAAGGTGTCCCTGCTCATGATAGTGGGGTTGGAACAAAATGGTCTTTAAGGTCCCTTCCAACCCAATCCATTCTATGAATCTATGATTCATTCTAAATCTGGTTTTCTTTGAGTGGAAAAAGCAGGATAAATCACATAGATACAAGGCTCCAAATGCTCCCGAAAGGTTGCTTGCATAGATTTTACAAGAAGCAGGAAAATATTTCTACCCGGCAACACACCATGAATTCTTCCTCTTTGGTGGGACTGTACTGTAGTGGGGATACTATTCTGTATGCATAGTAGCTCCTGCTTCTTCTAGTATGAAGAAAAAAGATACTAAAGAGGGAGGATACCGGAGCACTGAATTATTTCTTCTACAAACCCTGTAAACCAGTTATGGTCAAGTGAAATACCTTCTACTGAGTAGTGGCGACAGTTTCCATTGCCACAAGCAAACTTATTTGGAAACAACTCCATAACCAGTGGCTAGAAATTAGAGAAAATATTGCTGCAGAAGAGCATGAATACTTTTGAAAATTTTATGGTTTCTTTGTTACGCAAAACAGATAATTGTAGATCATAACAGTATAGCTGAGTTTAAAACACTCTTATTTCATATAAAGCCAAATTGTATTTTCAGGTTTGCCTGTGTAAAAATGTTGTGGTAAAAGGCACTTTAAATATATATATAAAAATCAAGTATAGCATTGTTCACGTTTGCAAATAAGTGCCACAAGTATAAACAAATGATAAACAGATTCCTTTTGTATGCTTGTTTCCAATCAAAATATTGTAACTAAGCAATGACTAGAAAATCACCGCACCACAAGTAACCCACATTATGAGGAAATAGATACTACTACAAGGTGTGTAACACATCTCAGGTTGGGCATAAACAATAGTAATTACTTGGTATTGAAAAAATTAAGATGTTATGGATTAGAGAGTTTACAACCCAACGTAAAGAACTGTAAAGATTCCGAGCTTATCATCTATCCATACTTAAGGACAAATTTTCATATTCAGTCATAGTCTGAAGATTTTGGAGCAGTACATTTCCCCACCAAGAAATTCCCCACCAAGAAAAATTGTTGCAGTCCTCTTGGGCTAGCTATTACTACAGACATTGCCAACAAGCAAGGTTTTTTGCCAAACGAAAAGGTATTATTTGCAAACTTCAGTAAATTCAATTAATTCTTTCATTTTTTCTTTCTTTCAGTTTCTGACCTAGGTCAGATGTAGGCAGATGCCACTACAATCATCCTGCTCTCTGAATATACTCACTTAAATGATTTTTTTTTCTTGAACATCAAAAGTTTTGCAGCAATTAATTGCTCTCAGAAGTCACTTGAAGTCTATATCTTGTCATCACTGACAAAAGTTCCTTTGGGTCCATCCATGACATGATGATCCCTTTGCAATTTGCCTGCAGAAAATTAAGGCTTTCATTTCTATAACATTTTTTTAAGGAAAGGCTAACCCTAATAAAAAAGGCTATTACTTTACCTGGGTACTTGAAAAAAGCAAGCTTATTACATGTTGGTATTTACAATCTCATGTTCCTTTATTCCTCTTTGTGTAAGAAAGAATTTTAAAGTCCAATTTGCTTAAGAATCTTCTGCTTTTACTTCGTGGGTGAGTACCTCTTTATTGACTTCCTTATTATCTTACATGGAAAAGCATCATTATTGCAACTAAGGAATGACATCTTAGGACATTGGCATCTGCACTCCACAAAAGAACTCATTTTTATCTATTCTAAGTATATTTACTATCTGTTTCTCATCTTCCAGATATGGGTATTAGTTTTATAGACTAAGATCACATTTCTCAAACTTTTTTATGATCACCTTCTAAAAAATAATCAATATGGCAATATGATTTCAAAACAACAAATCACTTTCTCATCTTCTGGGATGATGAGATGATTATCTTCTCTTATCTAGTGTACAATATGCCTTTTAATAACTGCATAATATGGCAATGGTTAATGTCATTATGTCTGCTCTATTTCAAATACAGCACATAGATTTCCCAGATGATTTATAGGAGAGAAGTTTACATATTCTCTTGCATTTAAAGTGTGAAAATATAGAACATAGACAAATGCTATGACATATACTGCAGAAATTCTGAGCAAGTTTAAGTGGTAATAACTACCACCCAACAGACTCACTCATACTAAAGAACTCTAAGCAGAAACTTTGTGCAGTTTTAATAAAATTCTTAGAAGTCAAACACACCTCTAGTATGTATGGAAACATACAAAATCCCACATATCTTTACAGATGAATATCAAAAAACGTGGCATCCTCTGGCATTAGTATCTTATTTATCCAAATTAATAAGTTAGGTTTGAAGAGGAAAAAAACCCCACTACATTCTTCCTATCTTGAGATGGCACAGCATTCTCATGAGCATAAGACTCATATGGTTCAGCAAAAATACATCGAAATCATACCACGTTAATATAGACTTTTTTTCCCCAATAAAGTTTCATACTGTCATTTTCTTTTCTTATTTTTCAGGTAACTTTTTCAAAACCTTTTAAAATCATGCATGCTTTTAAAATCAAAACACACTAGTGTTTTACTTTCCTAAAGGTAGAGTCAATGGAACTTCTTATTTCTGTTTACTGAGATGGGCCACCTCACACAATAATAGAAGAGCTGGGAGAGGGGTGGGAGAAGGAGCTGTCTAGACTGATTTCTTCCCACGGAACAATGTTGAGTGTTTAAAAACCTGTGCAAGCATTTGTGAAATAGATTTGATGAAATTTAGCATTCAAGAGGGAAAAATTGTAATTAAATCAGCATTAAACTAACTCTCCAGATGTCGTGCAGAACCTTCACAAACCATTGTTAATATAACAGTCTAAGTCCTTGAAACTAGAATCCCTAGAAAGAAAAAGAAAAGAAATTTAATTTGTTTCATGTTCAGTGAATACAGAAATACATTCTAAGGTTTGGATTCTGGAAGCACTTTGAGCAGGCTTCCCATAACAGTCAGTCCAGATCATTTGACGGATTAGATTTTATTGTACAAAAGTGCTATAGCGCTCTTTGATGTGAAAGACAAGCTTTGGACTCCTATCACTTAAGAAAATCAGACAGAAAATGTCTTTCCCACCAGGTTTGCAAGACAAACTGCAAGGCACATCCTTTTCACTTTACTGGAACAAGGAGTTTCACACAACAGAGAGAAAGATAGAAGAATAAAAAAGTTACTGTCCAATTTACTTCTGATATCACATTCTCAATGAAAGAATAAAAAGGTGACTGTCTGCTTCTTCTCCCATCAGTCTGTCTGCTGAAATAGCACAGAAACTCTGGAGATGAGGAAGTGCATTAGTGGTGATTCCAGCACTGCTATCTCATTATACTTCATGTACTGCAGAGTCACACATTAGCTGTGGGAGAAGCCTCTCCAGTTTGTAGTACTTGTTTCTACAATATCTTTTCCTTGGTAACTAGTCTTCAAGCAATTGAAAAATGAAATTTCCCCTCCTGGAAGACTATTTCTAGTAGTGTTCTGCTTTAAATACGATAGGAACTTACACCTAGATCATGTTTCATCAATCCCCCATATATCTATTTTAAAAGTCTTAATTCTGTAATTCTGCTGATGATTATACCCAAATATCTGCACTAACATTCTTGCTTTTATTTTCAGGAAATATCTTAAATTGATTTTTCTTTCATTCTGATCTCAATGAATTTCCCAAATCTTTTTAGAGAAAGATTAACTGGGAGGGAAATTATGTCATCACTCATAAATATTTCAGGCATTTATACTATTCCATCTTTTTTCTTGATACAGACTCTAAGTTCTAGACATAAGATTTATCAAGAACTTTAGTACTGTGGACATTAGAGGACTCAGCCAGATATAGGCAAATCAAATGTAAATCACTTATACAAAGCAGACAGTTACAGATTCAGATCTCTGCTCTATCTCAGGAGAGCCTTATGAAACAGGCTATTTTATTCATCACTGTATCACTACACTACACAAACCTAATAAATTCTTTCCACTCAAGCTTTTGAAATATAACACTGACTGCCAGTGTTTCAGTTTTCATTGCATGTTTTTTTTAATGAAAACAATCCCAAACCATTTAGCATAAACAAGTAACTAAGCAGTGTTCAAGACCAGGGTGCATGGGGCATCGAGCAACCTGGTTGAGTGGAAGGTGTCCCTGCCCATGGAAGGTGTGTTGGAGCTAGATGGTCTTTAATGTCCCTTCCAACCAAAACCATTTTGTGATTCTAGGATTCTCCAAGTCTGAAACAACCCTAGTCCTTCCCACTTAGACAAAAAAAAGTATAACAAAGAGCTGGATGAGGATAAAAGTTATGAATAGCATTAGTTATATATCTTGACCTCTCAAAACAATCAAGCAGAAGAAAAATTGAGTTCATTTCCATGAATTTAATTGAGAAAGAATTAGCTTAAACCGTCTAAAGATTTTAAGCAAACAAAGTATTTATACCTAGCTCACTTATTTAATTTTTAGTCCTTACTTAAACTTATCGTATCCTAGGAATGTACAAAAGCAGATTGTGCCATGTGAGGCCAGCCAGGACAAAAATAACAAAACAAAACAACAAAACACCAAGCAAAAATCCCCTGCAAAACAAAACAAAACAAAACAAAACCCAAACAAAACCAAACAAGATGTGAGTTGAATTCCTAATCTATTTTGTAGAAGATTAGTCTTCATTTGGTATTTAGCCAGAAGTTTACTAATTAGAATGGAATTCTATCATCCTGAAAAGGGATGCAAATAAAAAAAGAACCTTAATTGTTAGTATTGGTGTGGTGACTATATGGATTGCACCCTCTTTTCTTTATAAGTATCACAAGTAGGAAGTGTTATGGTAATTAAAAGAAAATGCAACTGTTCCAAATAATGCTTTTTTCAAAACTTTAAGAGCTACACTGTACCCAGACTAAGGAGGAGTAGACACAGTTCTATCAGAGGAACGAAGACTCCCTGTACTTGCTATCAAGTACAAATAGCTACAAAATCACTGTCTTGCTCAGCTGTGTTCTTTTACTAAGGGCACCAGAACCAGCTCACTGACCCAAAGGAAACTTGTCTCATATTGTTAGGACCTATTATTAGAACTTGGTGGAGCCTTTGATAGCAATCAAATGCCAAAGGTAATGAACTCAGTTAACAAATTAGACTTGGAAGTACATTATCATCTCAAAAGCAGAAATTATTTCCTGCAAGTCATGAATTGAGACCTTTTTTCCTCCTCAACTGGCAATATTTTTTTAATGCATGCTGCCATAAATCTACCAAAAAAGCATGATGCAACAAGCATGCAGCTACCAAATATGAAACTAAGTTGAGACTGAAACTGTCAAGGGAGTAGCTCCATATTGTGGAAGCTCCATTCCACTAATTGCAAAAAAGAAAGCTGGGCTTGCTCCTCCTCGGGATTACAAGTACTTGAAAACTTAGAGAATGCATTTATGTTTCTTGTAAAAATGTTCACGTATATAGAGTAAAAACTATTTTGAAAACTAGAAGAAGAAAGACTGGATAGTTAAGAGCTTTTATGTAGGAAAGATGAAAATATTTACATATAAACCTTGCGTAAAACAGTGTCCAGTCAAGATTTTCTGTAGCATTATTTCTATTACTGTTTTAAGAATTTTTGACTACAGCATCCTAGTACAAGTAATTGCTGTTTACTATATACTTTTGATACAATTCAATAAAACAAAAGAAAAGGAATATCATCAAAAGATTATGGTCCTGAATCTTCTTGTAACTTTTCTTGCATAAATGTAATTCCATGGAATTCAGTCAGTATTTCAATAAGAAATATCAGAGTTCATGCTTTTATTTTTATTTCCCTCCCCAGTGTTTGGAACTTAAATATTGTGGAACCACCTACCCTTCCAGGGGCCAGTCCAGAGACCGATGAGGAGATCGAGGATGGGAATGTTCAGGTGATGATGCTCTTAATGTAGAGCTTATCTGATACAAATTTGTACAATTCTGGCATTGAAGCTTCTGAAGTTCCCTAACAACACAGTATTTTACTATGACAAAGCACTTTTCAAAAAACATTAAAATGTCACTATAAGCTTTTTTTTTCTATTTAAGATTGTCGGCTTTTAAATTTTATTTTATACTAAAAGGAAATGTGGTTTTCATCATATACTTCTCTGAAAGACAGATTAGTGACTCTATTACTCTCTTACTCAGACTTAATTCTACATATCCATTGTCTTAATTTTCTTTGAAAGACAGAAGTTAGCCATGGTTTCTGCAGGTCAAACTCTAAAATCTGCAAAAATTTCCAGGGATGAAGAGCTTAGATTTAAGGTTATTCAAAAGTAAGAATGGTGCTGTTTGCAGTATTCTTGTGCTATTTGAGTTGGCAAAGCCAATGGACTAGAGTCTGAAGTGTCTGAAACAGATGGATATTTAAGAGATGCTGGACTCTCCAGTAGGAAAGTTGCAAAATGGTAGTCTAGTCATTTTGACTGCTAGGCATGGGGCCTGGATACTGGATCAATCCATAACTCCTGTATCTGGGTGTATGGGAAGGAAGTATGTGGGATTGGATAATGCACTGGAAAATTTTGGAGGTACATGCTCATGTGAGATCCTCATTTCAAGCTGTCAGTTGTTTACATAAGGAGAATCTAGTCTGTGTTGGATTGGGAAACTAATAGGTAGGGTGGCTACAACAACCCCTGAGTTCCAGTGTGGCTTAGCCATTTCCACACAGCTACCCGTCGAGTGGACCACTGAAGCAGGTCACCAAAACCTGCAGAGGAACGATCAGATCCAGCACCAGCTCATGGAGGTGAATCTGCACGCAATAAAAGGGCTTGCTCTAGCAAGAGGAGCCCAGTGAGCCATTAGGAATCTTCCAGCCAGCTACCACCATCCCACAACCTGGTGAGGATCACATACACTGTAAAGTCTATGGAACCAGATTTATCTGCATTGACTGTGAGCCTTACTAGCATTGTTGCTTTTAAGGACTTTACTATGCTCATGTTGCACTATCTGTAATGGTAAAGAAGGTGCTGAAAACTGTAGGAAATCAGACTACAGCTGCTTGCACTTCTCCCAGGTAACACTGGGTATGAATGTAGCAGCCAAACTGACCAATGGGGAAAGGGAGGTACAAAAGCAGCAAAAATGATGGTCAAGAAACAGAAAGGGATAAAAAGTTCCACAGGTCATACACCCGAGGCTGTCCAGGGGGACCTGACCTGACAGTCAGTCTCTGTGCTTGGTCACCACAGCCAGGACAAGACAATAAATCAAACCTGTTGTTTCCACAGGAGTCCAAACTGCTTCTGCAGTCAGTAAGATGGGAGGGATGAGAAGGTGCTTTTCCTGACTGGTGAAGAAAAAGCTAGGCAGATGGATTAAGCCTCCTGGTATCACTGTGTTGGTGCTCACTGGTTGCTGACAGTGTTGACACTTCCACCTCCTAACTTCAGGCATTATTTCATTCTGCATCAAGGCAGTAAATCAATACAAGGGGAAGCCGTATGAGGAGCAGCTGAGGTGACTTGGTCTGTTCAGCCTGGAGAAGAGGAAACTGACTGAGGGGAGACATTGCAGTCTACAACTTTCTCATGAGGGGGAGAGGCAGACACTGGTCCCTTCTCTGTGGTGACCAGTGACAGGACCCGAGGGAATGGCCTGAAGTTGTGGCAGAGGAGGTTTAGGTTGGATATTAGGAAAAGGTTCTTCACCCAGAGGGGGGTTGGACACTGGAACAGGCTCCCCAGGGAAGTAGTCGCAGCACCAAGCCTGACAGAGTTCAAGAAGTGTTTAGATGATATGCTTGGGCACATGGTGTGACTCTTCGGGATGGTCCTGTGCAGGACTAAGGGTTGAAGCTGATGATCCTTGCAAATCCCTTCCAACTCGGCATAGTCTGTAATTCTGTGACTAGCTAAGTCAATGTTATAATAAGGATGTCATATACCCACTTCTTTAAACTAACAACAAAACCCCAGTCAGTACTCACCTCTGTTGCTTCCATTATATACTAACATGATACCGACTTTAATAATATTTTTCCTATATGGCCAATTTTCTGGTTTTCATTTGCCAGTACCAGAAAAATAGAAGCCAGCTTGGATTTTTAATTCCCTTCCCTGTAAGCAAGAGACAGAGATACCTTCGCTTCCATGACCTTCTGAGAGAAAACAGAAAAGAAATAGAATTCTTGTAATCTTTGCAAGGGCAAAGATTACAGGTCCACTGTTATGATTTTTTTAAAAGGCCAAAGAAGAAAAAAGCTCTGGTCTTTTAAAGAGGGCTAAATCTAATGTCAGCCCCAGATTTTTATATGAGAACATTTCAGTCTTTGCTGTGTAAGATTTCTGCACACTGCTTTTGCAACTGACTTACAGACAGCTTAATGGAACGTAGATTTGTTTTTTCCAAGGCAATTCGGGTAATTATGTTTGTAATTCTCCAGAAGTAGAAGATAAATTCTCTTCAAGAATGAAAAATGGTGATCTTTGTTTCAGCATAGGCTCGGTCTAATATTTGTTTTTCTAACTAATTGTAAACTAAGTGATTATATTGCAACTGTAAGCAACCATGTGAGTAACGAATTATCCTTGACTAGGAGAAGAGATTAAGTGTGGAGCCTATTGCAACTTTCTGCCAAGTGAACACTTCAAGAAGAAACACTTGCAGTCCCTATCAGGGAATACCCAAACACCACGAGATGGATGCATTCATACAGAGGAAGTAGGGAGGTTCTTTTAAAACAAAGGTTCTCCTCTATTAGCATACAGTCTGGCTCATTCTATGCAGCTGAGGAAGCACAAATTATGCCACCTTCTAAACTGACTTCCACATCTAACACAAAAATTCTGTAGTTTTTGCCCTTGATTCAGGGTAAATGAGAATCCAATTTGAAACTGAAACTGAGAAATTTAAGAAATTCATCTTTAAAAGACCTAACTTCAGGTATAGAGATGCCCCCTCTGAAACCCTTGTCCTTACTTATGAGAGAACAGAATATCAACAAAGTCATTTACTACAGTTGAGACACCTGATTCTCAAACCCGTGCTATAATCACATCACTCTGCTTCTTTTAGCCCTCTCTTTTACATACCCCAAAATAAAACCCGACATTGTAATATTTTATCCTCAATACATCCATGAAATAGAGAAGTTCTGTGTTTAACAGGTAAGAAACCTATTTAAGACACAAAGACTATGTAGATAAACTAAGTCGTGAAGCAGGACAGGGACCATTCTCTGGTGCTGTGGCCAAATCATATGAAACAGTTTCTACATGTTGTTAGACTATCTTCTTAAAAAATTTAATATAAAATATTTGGCCGTATTGCCATTTGGGAACCACCCCTAGCACCTCAAGGAGTACCTGGGAGAATGGGGGTTGGTACAGGCTAAAATCATTCCAGAAGGTATAGAGAACTAGTAGTCTATAAAGCTCTTATATAAACAACTAGTCACCTTGACTTTCACTATAGATCTAGACAGGCATCAGTATGAGTGAAGACAGACGAGCATCTTCAAGAAAATCACCCATCCCATCCTAATTCAGGCTATTCCAAAGGGTAGTTGATCTCACTGTCTCATTCTGTTGGCTATACAGGGAACCTATACAACTAATTTAGACAGCATGCATAACATCTAAACAGACTAAATTTAGTGACATGAATAGTCTCCAAGCACAAAGGATACATACAGCAAAGCAAACACAAACTTTGCCATTTATCTGACTAATTAGTCTAAGTCTTAGTACTATATTGCATTTCACCCCAATTAGCTGCAGGAATCACAGTACAAAAACATATACTTGCCTTTCAAAGCATTCACTCTCCAGCTGTCGTTTGGTGATATCCAGTTCTGCCTCAAGCTCAGCTGCTCTATTTCTGAGGTGAGTAAAATCTCAACTCTGCACAGCACTGTGAAGTCCATACACTTTAATTAGATAGCAACTGTAATCCTCCAAGCGACATACAATTATCCAAAATTAAAAGAGCAGCTATATTATGCAATTGAGATTAAGAACATTTTTTTGAGCAAAATATAACACTGTGCAGGAAAGTCTATTAGAGTATAGCTGAGGAATCAAAAGCAGGTTTTTGGCATCTTCTGCTATTAAGGTAGCCAGGTACATTGGCCATTTGAAAATGCAGGTAGATATAAAACCATCTCTATTTATATACCCTTGTAAAGAATGAGAACAACTGCAATACTCTCCTGGTCATTTACTCACAGATGATTTTTCTCTAAAGCAAGCTGTTCCTCGAGAAACTGAATTTCAGAGTCTTTCTCTTGTTTTGCTATCTGTGACTGAAATTCTTTCTCACAACTGGACACAAGCAAAGATTCCAGGTTTTTCATAGATGCTCTTTCATTTCCCACTTGTTTTCTCAGCAGCTCTGTTTCAGAATGGGATGACTCACTCTGCAGCTAAACAAAGATTTTAAGTTTCAGATGTGTGTCTATTAAGCTTAATGGCATTTTATCAGGGTAACCTTTACAAAAAAATAAAAAGATAAATATAAAAAAGGAAGTCTGGGATCAATGACAAAATTTGCTTTCACTCCCAGATGGATATTAGTGCTATATTTTCCTAGTTAAAATCCTGTTGGATTTATAAATTCATTCAATATATATATCTGAATATAAATGTACTTGATACCAATAACAAAATGCTATGAAATATATGTATCAGTGGATTCTGTAGACAGAATCATTAAAGAACAGGAAGTAAGTTTCACATTTTGTTGAGGCAAGAAACTATTGATTAACTATTTGCATGCAGGAAATAACACCTGATAAAACAAACCAGTATCAGCATCATCAGCAGAGTGAGAAAGCACTTAATTTGCTTAAAGGAGCATCAAGAGTAAACTGAGGGGGGAAGGAAAATGAATAAAATACAAACCAAGATATTAAGTATCTACATATCTTGGGGAAATCTATAAAAGAAGAATACCCATAAAATCTAGCATATTTCACTGCCAAGGGAAAGATGGACACATCCGAGACATAGCTACATACAAAAAAATAGCATAAGTAAGCTAGTTGCTATTTTCCCTTCGTCTTTTCTTTGCATGTATGCATTTTAGTCTGTCTAACTGAGTCTGTTTGGGGTGCTGCAAACACTTTTATCTGTATTTTACGCAAGCCTAGTTTACATTACACACAATAATGCTCAGCCAAAGGTCATGGGAAATCTGTGAACTGCGACATCTTAACAAACACCCACCTCTCCAGCACATTCCTCAGAATTTTCAGAGGATAATAATTTTTGTGTTCAAAGAAGGAAGATACTGGTAGAACTCAGATCATAGGCCAAGAGGGAGGTGGGAAAGAAAAAAAAAAGAAAAAAGCATTTTTCACTTACCAAAGCAAAGCTCAATTTTTTTCTCTTACCAAACTAAACTGAAAGGTTTCTTCATTCTTAAAGATCCCATTTTCTATGAACTGTCACTCAAAAATCTACTTCCTTTGCAGAGAAACAGTTTTGATATTCTACATTTGTATTTCAGAACAAAAGAACACTTAAAACTTCAGGTTTAGTTTCCGCTTCTGAATATACATATGCTGCAATCTAGTAATGCAGATTCTGCACTGGAATACTATGTAAAATAAGAGCCCTATCTGAAGGTTATACATGGCTGATGAAAGATTACTGGTTGAAAGATATGGAAAAATTCATGAAAATTCCCCAACTGCAGACTTTTCTCCAACTCTCCAACTGCATTTCTGCATTTTTCTTTCCCAAAACTTTTGCTGTTCTCCACAGTCCCAGCAATCCCCTCCACAGACAATCTCACAAAAGGATCCAGGGAGGCTTAATCATATTAGATCTCATAAAAGTTTCAGATAAATGTCATATGCTGGAACTCTTCCCTATCAAAACAATCACAGAGGATTCCACAAGCATACGAAAGACATAACCAACTGTCTAACAGCAGCTTTACCCATGATGGATGCAAAAGGCAGAAAGGTTTAAAGAGAATGCTGGAAGCCTGTAAAGAACAAGAAATTATCTCAGCTGGAGTAGAGGATGGACAGGTCAGTGACAGAATTGTACTGAAAATATCTAAATAACCTAGGTATGTATGAACAACATTTCAAAGTTTATCCAAGCTTAGTTTTTAAAAATTTATCTATCAAATATTAATTTTGTAGTTTTTGTAAAAATCAAGGTTAACAAAAATTTCAAGGGAAATTAAGAAAATATTAAAGATATTAATACTTCATAAAACAGTCAGTCATTTTTAAAGTCCATGTCAAGTTTCATTGCTAATAAGCAACTCCAGCTATTCTGCTTACTTATTGACTAGATGTAAAATGCAAGATATCTTTCATGAAAAGAACCAGTAATTTTAAGCCCTGACTTTTGAGTATTCATAGTCAAGCCTTGCAAAGCAGTGTCCTTTTCAAAGAGTATACAGCACATAAACTTTGAGGACTAAGCCCCTGAGAAATGCCAAATAAAACATTAAAAAATTGAAAAATTGATCATCCATGATCCCAAAGTATATGTAGATCCCTTAAGTATAACATAAGTTAACATAAACTTGTTTTTCTAATATATTTCACATACCCTTTCTACTTTTTCTGCTGTGGAAGTTAAATGCTAATTTAATTGTTGACTCCATCTAATTTAATGCAAAGTTTTTGTATAGATGTGAGATTTGCAAGTATAGGGACTCTCCCAATGTATATTTTGAAGCTTTCTATCCATTTTCAGAAGAGACTTGCTTAACGCAGAAATATGAGACTTGTATGCTGCTTCTGTTGGCAAATGCTACAGTAAAGCAATATCAGAGAATCAAAATGCTACTGCAAAAAAATTTACAAAAATCCTACAAAATATCTCTATGTGAATTTCAAGAGGCAGCAGTAATTTATTCTAGAATAAACCATAAAGTTATTCCTTTAAATAACTCCTGTATGTAAAACTAGAAGATATCTTGCTTCTGACAGCAAAATTAGCTACTGACATTTTAAACTCTACTCCTAGAATTCTACTCCTTCTGCAGAGCTAATAGGGTTGAAAATTCTGCCATGGGTCACATTTCATTTTCAAATGAGATCCTCTTATTTTAGCAATAAAATGTGGTTTTGAATGTAGATGATCTGTAAATGCTGAGATTCTGTCAGTCATATTTATGCTGCTGTCACCTGTAAACTGAGGCATGACTATGAGATGACAAAGTCACATTAAAGAGGAGTCCACAAGTTAGCAGCAGCAGTTCTGACTAAAACCATTAAGAATTTCATGAGATTAAAATTAACTCAGCCTAGGATTTTCCTCTTTGAAAAATACCTGTACTTTGCCCAGTGATACTTGTATTCCTGGTCAGTCACTTTTAACTTCTTAATTTTCAGTGAGTGGCAGAATGGATCTGGGAGATTAGTAGAGCAAAGTGAAAGGTAAAGCACTGTGATTTTCTTGAAGACTTCATGAAAAATTACATCCCAAGAGATGATTGTATGAGGAACATACCACATTAACTCTAGCTCTGTTTTACCTAAGAAAAGCACAAGGAACACAGAGAACTGCTGAACACATTAAGATTTTTGAACAAAAACCTCTGTGCTTTGTATGTGTGCCTTGCAAGTAACTGCTATGAAACTGAATATGACATCTGGAATTCTGATCCAATATGTTGACACAATTTTCATGAAGAGGCCTGTTTACTCCTGTACTTAATAGCAGGTGTATGGGATGGAATTAGAAGGATGAAATATCTTCTGGTTTGAGGCTTTCTGGACAAACTAGGACCATGTGCCATTTTTATTATTTTTTAAAAGAAAAGTCAAAATCTGCCACACAATCTTCCTGTTATTGTTACATTCTCATCCACTTTCTGACAGCAACAGTTTGGTTCTCTTGAGTATCTAATGTGCTTAAGGAGCCCTTGGTAGCTTATATGATATTGATAAAGGACTGGTGATCTGCAACTAAAACCGGGAAAACCCCAAACCATGTGTATATGTTTGCAGCATATTTCCAAAGCCATGTTGTGAATTTCCATGTAAGTTCTTCAGTTCTTCTTTTCAAGTGGGAAGAGGCTCTTTGGGACACCTAAAAGAAGGTTGAAAACCTGGAAGCAAGAAGAGCAGGGACAGGAACATAATAGGTGACAAAGCACTAGATATGTTTCAGGTATGCTGTGAAATTGTGTGTGACTTTATGCCTTCAGTGATTCCAAATATAAGAGCATTTTACTTTTTGTTTTCCTTGAAATTTGCTATTATTTTCCAAGATCTCTTTTCCCAAGTGTGACCAGTGAAGTTCTAATCATATTATTATATAAAGTTAAAATCCATACAGTTCATGGCAGCAAATCTCTCTAAAACATAAGAATTTGCATTAAACATAACTTAAAAATACTACCAGACCATTTCAAGGCTGAACTATGGAAAGAAAGGTTTCAACTCACTTGCTCCATCTGTGTTCCAAGGGACTCTATTTTCTCTTTCAACCTGATCAGTGTCAGTCTAAGAAGAAAAGCCTGCTTCTGCTTGATGGCATTTTGCTTCCCAACTTTCTCTTTGTTCACAGGCTTTGTGGTAATTCTCCAAGAGCTCACAGTTCTCTCTCTCTCCTAACACATAAATCTTGTTTATTTAATAATTTACAGTAAGCTCCACAAAATAGGGATAGCTATAGACCTACAGGTATGGTATTGGATATTCTATTTCTACTGAAAATTTTGCTTCTTGGCCAAAACATTGAGATACTTTTTAAGAACCAGAGTTTTGTTCAAGAAGACTACATTTTATGAACAAAAGACATCTGTTAGAAATGTCTAGGTTAATGTTAGAAATACAAGGTATAGCAATGTAGCACAATAATATTTTTTTTTACTTTAATCCCAGAGTTCAAAGCCTCTGTATTACTCACTGTCTAAATTTATAAGTTTAATAAACACACAGGCGTATGAGTGTATACATATAGAAGCACAATGAAATATATTGCATTAATTGTGTACTGCAAAAATAGCCATGAAAATGTGTCCAAGCTAATAAAACTAAATTAATAGAATGCAAATAAGTTTTGGCTAGGAAGCAAATTTTTCCATGGAGATATCATTAAAATTTTATTTTTAGTTAAAAAACAACAGCTTTTACTAACAGTTTTAATTTATATACTCACCTTATACTTCAGTACATTCTTCAGCCTGACAATATCTGTGTTTGAATCCTGGGCCTTCAACTTCATATAATCAAGCTTATTTTGGTACTTCGCTAGTTTTTTATGTAGTACCTGTGAAGAAAGTTTCTTTTCATGAGGTTAGAGCATACTGCTTATACCTTTACAAAAAAACACAGAAAAATACCGTGTACCTAAGGTCTATGGCTTTATTAACTGTTTTTTTAAAGACTGTATAAAATCTAAATTATTTGTACTTCTATACACCAAATTTTTCACTTGTCAAAAGTAATTTGTTTCTTTGACTTATAAATAATGCTAATCTTCCTAAGAAGAAAAATGTCTGTAAAGAAATGAAGCATTTAAGAAGAAAAATACAGATGGTTTATTTAGCAGCCAAATTGTCATAAAACAATTTAAGAAGCAGAGCTCAGTTAGCTCCCTTTTTTTAAACATTCTAGTCTTTTAAAAGCCCACATTTTAAAAAAGAAGACAGATAAAAATTTTAATTAAGTGGTCTAATTATTAATTAATTGCTTATATCTTAATTAATTAAGTGCTTATCTCCTAATCAGGAAAAATAAAGCCAGAAGTACTAGAAGGACATACAGAGAATTTCTGGCAACTATTGCTTGAGAAAGAGAACAGAACGAGGAAAAAAAATGCAGAAAGGCTGTCTTGAACTGCACTGTTCAGAAACTTTTTCTTTCATATAAAATTATTAGGAAAACATTCATCTGCAAGAACTGGGGGCACATGTGTGTGTGGGGGTGATGTGGTGTGTAGAAGGGTATGAAGAAACTCCTGTTCCTGTTGCAGAAGGGCTGTGAGTTGCTGAGAAAGGTGCTCTGAAAATCTGTCAACTTTTCCAGTAAGCCCAAATGTAGAAACGAAAATACTACTTTAAATACATAGAGTAACACCTCAGTTAATGTAATAATCTAGAGGAGCCAATACACATTATAGAGGCAAGCCTTTTAAAAGCACTTGATCGTGTAAGACTGAGATTTTTGTTTCTAACTTTTTCTACAAGCATCCAGGCACTGCAAAGAAAACCATGAAGTTTTCAAAAGCAGCTAGGAGCAACAGGAGGCATCATCAGTATCAACTGTGCTTCTGAGAGAAGGTGAAGCATAGTGATTCCCTAGAGAATCTTTGCTGGTTAAAGCTGCTTCAAACCTTGCCTTTTCTTGGATAATCAGGGAGGGCACCAAAGTGAAACATGTTTGAGAGAAGTTATTTAGAAGGCAAGTTGTCTCACCTAATTTTTGCAGCAAAGAATTAGGCACCAATCTAAAGTCATTAGCTACACTGCCTCTTCAGTGAAGGGAGAGAGGCAGGTAATATTAATTACTTTAAAAACTGGAATGGGATGAATCTCCTAGAGGAATTTTCTTCACTTAAAAGGGAGCCTTAATGACTTAAAGCTTTTATATACTTAAGATCAGGTGCAGTTAATTTGCTCCTTTCAAACTAAATAGCACTTCTAGAGGAAGAGAAGACCAGGTGAGCAGTAGACTAAGTGCAGAGAAGAAAGATCAAGTATCAGAGAACCTAAATGAAGGCAAGAAGCTGAAGAAAAAGAAGAAAACAAGAACATTACATGGGGATGAACTACTACAGATATTAAGCTTAATTTCTAGCTGCTTGGAAAATGTTGGTGCAGGAGTATTATGTGTGCATGAGATGGCACTTTAAATATTTTAATTCTACTAGGAACTGCCCAGAGATAATTAACACAGTAGACAATGTAAGGTTGTATTACAACCAACTATTTCCATTATCTTTTATCCAAAAGCCACTTTTAAGGAAACATACATCAATAAAATGCTATTAATAACATTTAGAACCTTGTTAAAATGTGTAATGTGTTACATTATTAGCAGGCAAAAGTAATAAGCTTTTAAGTACTCTAGACTGGTCACAGCACAGTATAAGGAACACTCACTACTTTCTTTATAGTACTTTTCCATACAAGTGATAGTTACAGCTGGCACATTGTTTTTACTTTAAGATCAGAAAAAAACATTAATTAGCTGTTCCTCAAGATAAATATCTAAACCATTACATAAGATTAGCTGGTTCTCTTCATACAAGTGAGCTGAGCAATAAAGGAAACATCAGAGTTTGAAACACAATCTTAAAGCTAGTTTGCAGATTTACTTCAAATGAGGACCCACCAATTTCCTGTGCTACTTGAAAAAGGCACCATTTTTTCTTTTTAGTCAAGGGTTCTTGGTACAAACATACCTAAATTTCTTGCTTAATATTAGAAAGATGCTCCTGTAACCTGTCATTCTCCTGAGCTAATGATACTCTGTTCTTGTTGGTCTGTGTGAGTTCTTTGTTGGTTTCTTACAGCTGTTGATGCAAACTGGTGATATCCTCCTCACAGATGGAGAGTGCTTCAGCAGATATCCTATGCAGCAAATAAAAATTTTTTCAGGTATGACACTACTGCCCAATCGAATACAAATGACAGCTTTTCCAGTGGTTAAGTTTTCAAGTAAGGAAAGAAAGCTGTAACATTTTGATATTAATTTGAGTAAAAGAAATTTCTACATTAGTACATCCTATGATTCATTTTTTTATTTAATGCTATAAATTAATCACAATTTGATAATAATTTTGACATTTCTTACTTTGTGGAATGCTCCAACTCAGAAATCAGAATCTTGAAATCTGAAATTATTTTCTCCTGGAAAAAAATACAGAATTAAAATAAACCTCTCACCACTCCTCAGTATAAATGGAAGAAAAAATTGAGCAATATTATTTATATATCTTTTTATTCAACTAGCTGAATATTTTAACTATTTAATGCAAAATGGATTGTGATTTTCCAAGCTTCATCATGTACTATTTAGATTTGAAAACTCTTTTCTTTTTTTTAATTTGGGAAACAAAAGAAAAAATGATATCTGAGTGAAAGCCCTGGCTGGTCTGGATGGTTGTGAAGGGCTGTTACAAATCCCGATTCCAACTCTGCCCCCTGAAAGAAAAGCTGTCCATATAACCCTTACATTCTCACAGTATTGTCCTTTCACCCAGGGCTGACACATTCTTGAGGGAACTGGTGGATGAAGTGGCTAAGTCACTATCTGTCATATTTGAGAAGTTGCAGCAATCTGGTGAAGTTCCCACTGAATGGAAAAAAGAAAGCATAAATTCCCCATTTTTAAAAAGGGAAATAAGGAAGACCCAGGGAACTGCAGGCCAGACAGTCTCACTTCGGTACCTTGGCAAGATCATGGAGCAGATCCTCCTGGAAACTATGCTAAAGCACATGGAAAATAAGGAAGTGACTGGTGACAGCCAACATGGCTTCACTAAGGACAAATCGTGCCTGACAAATTTGGTGGCCTTCTACATAGGGGTTACAGCAGAGGTGGATGAGGGAAGCGCAACTGATGTCATCTAGCCAGACTTGTGCAAAGCATTTGACACTGCCCTGCACAACATCCCTGTCTCTAATCTGGAGAGATGTGGATTTGACAGATGGACCATTTGGTGGATAAGGAATGGGTTGGATGGTTGGACTCAAAGTGTTGTCACTCAGCGTCCAAGTGGAAACCAGTGGTGTTCTTCAGTGAACTGAACTGAAGAACTGTTGGGACTGGTGCTGTTGAACATCTTCATTGGTGATATGGACACAGACTGAGTGAAGAAAGGATCAAGAGCAGCCCTGGGGAGAAGGACTTGGGGGATTTGGGGGCATTTGAGGGTGGGAAGCTAAACCTGACCTGGCAATGTGTGCTGTCAGACCAGAAAGCCAACCACATCCTGGGCTGCATCAAAAGCAGCGTGACCAGCAGTTTGAAGGAGGTGATGCTCCCCCTCCATTCTACCCTCATGAGACCCTACCTGGAGCACTGCATCCAGCTCTGGGACCCCCAGCTCAAGAAAGACACTGACCTGTCGGAACAAGCCCAAGGAGGGCCACAAAGATGATCACAGGGATGGAGCACCTCTCCTATGAAGTCAGGCTGAGAGAGTTGGTGTTGTTCAGCCTGGAGAAGAGAAGAATCTAGGGAGACCTTACAGCACCTTCCAGTACCTAAAGGTGGCCAACAAGAGAAATGGGGAGGGACTTTTCACAAGTGCATGTAGTGATAGGACAAGGGGGAATGACCTAAAACTGAAGGAGAGCAGGTTTAGATTAGATATTAGGAAGAAATTCTTTACTGTGAGGGTGATGAAACACAGGAACAGGTTGCCCAGAGAGGCTGTGGACTCCCCATCCCTAGAAGTGTTCAAGACCAGGTTGGATGGAGCTCTGAGCAACCTGATCTAGTGGAAGGTGTCCCTGCCCATGGCCAGGGGTTGGAACTAAATGGTCCTTAAGGTTCCTTCTGACCCATCCATAATTCTGTGTTTTCCTTGAGCTGGGGGTTCTACAGGACAGCAGCCAAGCAGCTGTGATGAACATACCAACTTCTGGTACAGTACCAGCATACCAGCATAACAGCTTACCTAAGCAGCTGTGTGCAGCAAGCATGCAGTCTCTGCACTTTTATGCTCTTAAATCTTGCTTTCAGAGATTATCATAATCCTCGTTTTCCCCACAGGTGTATCTGACTGAAATTCTAGAGGCGAAACAAAATCAGAGGTTAGAAAAAATCCTAAAAATTATTAAAAAAAAAGATGCATTGTAAAATCTTGTACAAAGTTATCAGTAAAAGCATTGCATTTTCCCCATTAATTCTAACATAAATATTTATAAACACTCCCTTCAAAGAAATTTTAATTATTTCTCTACTTGGTTTCATCTTGGGAGGTTTTTGAATAACTCTTATCTATGAAAATTCAACTTTCAGTATCAAGTTTATGACTTAGAGCACAGTTGCTCAATAAACATTACTAAAGTTAAGAAAAGGTGTTCATATTTCTTTTTGGTTTTAAGTACAAACGAATACTGAGTGACCAGTTGCTGCTATACCTTTTTGAATGGCTTTTTCGTTGGGGGAGGGAGTTAAGCTAAGCTTCTCCTTAAGTGACACAACATTTTCTCCACACCTTGGCAGATAAAAAGATGACTTCCTCAAATAATACTTCAATTCTTAATGGCTATTTGGAGATGGAAACAGGGAGGTGGGTGGGCATAATAAATTGGCATTCTTGGGCAACACCACCCCCCATTGTTGGTTTGAGTGGAATTCTTTGGTTTTAGAGCACCTTTAACACAAACCTCCTGGGGCCCATCTGCACACATGTGGCATAGGCCTCATCCATGATTAATGTGAAAGCCTGAGAGAAAGGCAGGGAAAGGCAGCACAAGCAACGCTTACAGGTCAGAAGACTTCAGAGACAAAGCCAAGCAGCCAAGTCTCATTAATCCAGCCCCAGGAGAGAGATGGGTATTCTGAAACTGCCACAGCTGATCAGCTGGGACTGACTGTGAGCTCAGGCAGCTCAGCTGAACACCTCTGCTCTAATTAGGTTCATCTCTTTCAGAAACTAATATCCAACGAGACACATTTACAGATGAAAACTCCAGCAATTGCAATACAATCTCTCTGGCTTGACCAGAACAAAACAAGTGTTAGATAAGACTGATTTAATCTTGTGAAAATAGCCTTCTTTTAGTTAAATCTTATCTTCTATCCAAAACCCATCTACTCTGCATATGTATTTGTAAAATTATGTGCCAGTTGTATCTTCCAGAATAAATATCACCCTTAACATTACACTTGTTTCTTGACAGTGTCAAGTATTAGCTTCACATGTATGAGAAAACACCAGTCTGAACTCATTCCTGATTTTTAATGCCAGGATTGACATATTAACTGGTTTGCAGACATTGTAAAGTTAAAATGTCATGGTATTACAAGGCTAATTGCGCTTTTCTTTATTCCATCAACAAAATCATATGAGAGAGACTACTTCTTACATCTTCTTATGTCCAAGATAGCAGTTCTTATTTACAGTACCTCTAGCTGCATATCTCTTCTTGGAATAGCACAGACAGGGACAGGAAGACTGGTGCCTTTGAAGAAAGTGATGTGAAAAGGGTAAGGGGGCCATGTGAGTCCTCTGACTCCTATTGCCTGCTTCTGTCGGGCACGGATATAAAGAGTCTTTGAAAGAGGCTGCTATAGGTAGTCCCAAAGTCAAGCTGAGAAATCAGATGAAATGCACTCTCTTCTCTGTTAGCCACTAGCACAGGTTTTATATTCTGCAGACAGTGTCAGGTGAATGATGGGGTTTTTTTGGCAAGCAACCACTATAAAGCACTCATGAATAGAGCTCACCTTTTCAGATATTAGGTGTGAGGAACACCTCAGAAATACAATCCCCACCCAAAGAGAAGAAATTGGAATATTTTAACTTCCAGAAAAAGAGCAAGAGAAACAAGACACTTTCTTTTCCTCACCCCATTCTGGATTTATTGTAAGTCTTTCTTTTGGATTTTGGTATGATAGAGATCATCAGAGACTCTGCATTATCATGTTTATCTCCAAAAGAGATGCGAGAAGAGCATTTCAGGTTTTCATAACTTTAATTATGAAGAATAATAAGAATTTTATTATGAAGAATAAAAAATTCTTCTTTATGAAAGTTCATTTTAGGTGTGAAATTAGACATTTTTAATTAGTTTTGCCCTGGTATGTCTAAGGTATCCTCTAAGAGACATATGGTGAGTTCTCTCTTATATGTTTATGTGGGTTAATATTGTGCACAGCAGTTACTGTGCTTTTTGTATACCAAACAACACTTTCTTGATCAAAGAAGAAATGAAAGTCATACACAGGATTGTTTTCAAAAGCAAAAATAACAATAGCTGTATTTTGCAGATGTGATTTATACACTAGCAGTTGAGACATAAAAAATATATTTAGAAGTCCAATCCAGAAGAAATAAATAAATAAATCATGGTGTGCATTTAGAAATTCATATTTTTTGCTTATTGTCAGAATATTTCCAATTATCTTGCTCGGTTTGTTTTCAACAATAGCCACTTTTCAGGAAAGGCATTTATTGTTCATGTGTATTTTACCCTTCAGCATATCAAAAACAGACCCCTGACGTTTTTACCTGTCCACCTAGTATTCTGCACACTTTACTTTTTTTTAGCACATTGTGCTTCTAACTACAGAAACATTTTTTAACTAGAAAAACATGTAGTGTAACAGCTTAAAGTAGGTTTTTAGTGTCACCCTGTGGCAAAATGACACATTGCAAATTTCCAAGAATCAGTTGCCAAAATGGAAACAAATGGTCCCACATTTTGTTTGTTTTTCATAACATCAGAAGTCTAACAAGACGCATTTCCCTACTTCTGACCAGTGTTACAGTGCACGGGTTCACTTCTGCATTTTGCCAACTTCCTCCAAAATTTATTTTCCAATATTCAGAAGTACACATGCCTTTTGCCCTGTGCACTACTGAATAGCTCACCCCAGTGAAAAGTTATCACCAGTCTAATTTAGCAAAAAGTTATGTCTATTGCAAATCACTTAAAATAATTCACAACTTTTTTTTTTTTAATATGACAATACAATGTGTGCTGGGACACACATTACATCAAGATTCTTTTAGAGACTGTTTCTCCCACTAATCACCACCAGCACACATGTGGTGATGGTTTCTTACTTTTTATTTGCCCTACTACACCCACACAGCCCTTTTAAGTGTTTGGTAAGGACTGTCACACTCTTAATTAATCAGTTCTTCAGTAGGAAATAACTCCAAGCTTATGTCTTTAATCTTGGAAGTCTTTCATCCTTATCCACCTTCTTTTCTCCTTTTCCTTTCAGGGAATATAGCTGTTCTGATACTGTTTGTTCAACTAGAAGGTTAAGGCAATTCAGGCCACATCATAAACAGTTTTCTTTACTGGAAAAGCAAATACATGAACATCCAGTTACACACCCAAAGCCAAACTGCTTCCTCAAGTAATCTCACTGTTTCACCTGAATATCAATTTGGCATTTCTTTGAAAGTCATCTATTCCTAGAGCTAGAAAAAAAAAAAATTACTTAGCCCTAACTACCTGTTCAAGAGGGATAGCCTATATGAATTCTCACAACCCACTGTATCAACCTTTTTCTCTACAGTTCCTTCATGTCTTGGTACTCCTATATTAAGGCAGAGAGGAAGACAAAAGCATGCAATGTATCCTTTATAAATACACATACACCAGAAAGAGATATACAACACATATTTGCCCATAGGGATACTACTGCAGATAAAAAAAGTTCGGCTAGCACTGAACATTGTCCCATAGTGTAAGCTTAAATACAGACAAGAGCTCTTGATAGTTAAGGTCTGGTAGACTTTAAGAATGGCTTAAACCAATGCAAATCTGGAGACGACTTGCTGCATGAAATACGTCTACAGTTACTTAGTTTTTGATCACTTCCAGCTTGTTAATGAATTACACTATCAACATTTAGTTTCCATATCTTCCCAAATCCCATGGAGAGTTTCTGCGTATTTCACAAGCCTCTGTACATTTGTATTAACTCCTTCAGCCTCCTTGTGAATCCGTGAAAGCTGCTAGCATCCACAACAATCCGTGGAGAGAAATTGCACAGCTGGGTCTTGCAAGAAGAATCATCCATTTTATCCGTTGTGCATTGGCCTCTTGCTGGCATGACCCTGTAAGTATTATTGACAATGCCTGTAAGTATCTGAAGGGAGGGTGCCAAGAGGATGGAGCCAGGCTCTTCTCAGTGGTGCCCAGCAATAGGACAAGAGGCAACAGGCAGAAACTGATGCACAGGAAATTCCGCCTGAATATGAGGAAGAATTTCTTTATTGTACGGGTGACTGTGCACTGAAACAGATTGCCCGGATAGGTTGTGGAGTCTCCCTCGCTCAGATATTCAGACCCGTCTGGG